TTCGTCAAGAGTTTCGTCATTTCGTCAGGTTTAATTTCGTCTACTAATAAAATCAATTTCGTCAAGCATCACTAGTTACAATTTTAGTGAGCATAGATTATATATACATTTAAACATGATAGCTATACAGGATGAGTCAGCAGAAACGCACGAATTTTTCTATATTTTTTTTAAAACCTTGAACAAAGATAAATATGTTGTATTCATTTAAAAGAAGCTATATTAAAGTTGGTACGTAATGTAACACCAACTATTTGGGACGTCCCAAAACATGCGAGAATTTGTATCACAGAGCTTCGGCAATAAGAACAAAGCAGTCGAAACTAGTGCTGTACTTATCATTGCATGGTTTGGGACATCCCAAATAGTTTGGGATACATTTATTGTTAAGTTCTTGTTAATTTTACTCAAATCCTTTAAAAAAAAAGATTTGACACATTTACTAAGATGTAGATAATAGCTTAAATTTAAAGATTCATCTGGCGAATTTATGAAATTAAGCTAAAATTCGGTCACCAAATTCAAACATCTAGTTTCCAATTTGAAATTTTAGTCACCAAATTATATACTGCTAAATCAATGTCAAACCACCAAAAATTTTTGGACCCCAGATCTATATTTACAAATTCGCCGCAATGGATGGTTTTACTGTTTTAGAATAAACATGTATTCTGTTAATTAATGCACCTATGATTAAAAATGATGATAAAATTAGATTTTCATACATCAGTTTCGTGTAACATCACATACATCGACAAATAAAATCGCATTATTTTTTTTTTTTAGATGCCGATGATTACAGCTGATTTTATTGGTCAAAAATAATTGATGCACGCGATGTTATACAAAACTGAAAATTAATGTAGACTTCATAGACAGAAGTTACATTATTTATACAGTTAGAGTACTTTTTAAAAAAACGAAAACCAACCATAATAAAGTTTCATTAGAGCTGTAGGACTCTCTCGTCCGTTAAAAAAAATTAGCTTAGAAATAAGTTGATTTTATCGGGTTTTGAGAAGTTATTACTATACTAACTTTTTTAAACGGACGAAAAATTGGATCTTATTTTTGGATATGGAGTCCTACAGCTCTAATGAAACCTTCTATACAGTTTTTGTTTATTTCATTATGATTAGTTTTCATTTTTTTACAAAGTACTCTAAACTGCATACATAATGTAAAATTAAATTGAATTTATTAGCCAATAGGCAAACTTCTGCCTATGAATGTAGACTAGGCACAATTTGAATTAGACTGCATCCGGGATGTTTCCAAATTTGGTGATCGCTAAAGCCTTGTACCCACGTGATTTTTGATGTTTTAATTGTAATTAGGGTTAGTGTTAGGGTGAGGGCAGGTATATAGGTAAAATTCCCTTCCCGACATTTTTTATTAATGTACCAAGACAGGTTTAGACTGCCGTTTTTCATATTTTTTCGATTTTTTGATTTTTCGATTTCTTCGGGCTGATCCGTGTAAATAAAATTTCATGATTTTGATTAGTGAACTACATAGAAAAAGTCACGTGGGTACAAGGCTTTAACGGACCCAAATTTGTATATGAAGATCGCACTTTTTTTAGCAAAAGAGGCTGTGTATTTTATTGTGATACAACTGTATTTTTAAGCCTCGTGGATCCTCGTGGACATTGTCTGAAATTCTATTTTTAATTTAGTTGCGGACCGCAACTAAATAAAAACCTTTACTTGCGGATTATATGGATTTGGTTGCGCATATGAATGTATTTATATGCAAATTCGAACATTTAAATATGCAAATTCACAAAATTTACCAGCATATACATTTCAGATTTTAGTTGCGGAAACTTATAAATCATTTGCGGTCCGCAAGCTCCGCAACCCAATTTCAGACACTGCCCGTGGATACCTAAACTGCATGCTTCACCAAGACTTTCTATAATAATTATTTTGAAAATTTTTTGTTTTTTGAATGTAACAAAAAGTACTATTTCTTTACTATGTGGTTGATCAATTTCCAAATTTGGAAAAATACCGGACTGCAATATGTATTTCTTTATATGAAGAAAAATTAGATATTGCATTAAACAAATTTGATATATAAATCTCTTATCAATTCTTTATGAATAATTAATTATGTTCTCTCCTTGGAATCTAAGATTAAATTTCTCGGTTAAATCCATTTTATTTGTACTCATTTTTGCACGTACTTTTTTAAGCATTAATGGCTTTATACCAGAGGGTCGAGGTGGTCATGTAGCTACAATATTCCAAAATCAAATTTATTTTATGGGAGGTGCTCGTATAATCCCATCGACTAACCCAATAAGGAGTCCAACAAGAGTATATAATTTATCGGACCAGGTTTTTTTCTTGGATCTTTCATCATCATTCTCTACAAGTAATCCACCTTATGTGGATCTTTCCGAAACTTCTGCTCGAATGACATATGGATTTGAAAAAGGTTAACACTTAAATTTATGCACTTAATTATTTCTAAAAAAAAAGCGTTTTTTTATGTACTCTTATATTATTCAATACTCACAATAGGAGCTGCAGTAGTTGGTGGTCCTGCTAATGATAATGTCTATCTCGTAGAAGGTATACAACAAGACCTTTCACTCCTTAATAAAATCGATAAAAACGTAACAATAACTTCGAATCAAACATTAATGTATAATGAATTACTCAAGACTTGGAACGTAACGAATAATACTATTTTTATGTACAATCTGAGGGAGAAATATTGGACGATTCCGAAGCCTATTGGTGTGCCACCAAGTATTAGACGTAGATCAGCTTCAACGGTAATAGATAAAGATGGAACAAAAATATATATGTTTGGAGGGAGAGCTGACACTAGTACTGGATCGCCTATCTTTATTATCTTTAATGATTTATACACTTATGATACTATTCTGTCTAAATGGGAAACAATTAATGTGACTGAAAATGCACCTATATCTCGAAGTCATAATACTGCAACATTACTTCCAAATGGTATGATTCTTTATATTGGAGGTGTTACTCAGTCTTTACCTGGAGGACCTACATCTCCAGTAAATATGGATGAAGTATGTTATTTTCGTCGAACTTACAAGACACTAGAAACAATTATTTAAAACATCCTATAAAATATTGATTAATTTCCATTATTTTTATTTTATTTTATTAATCTGGAAATCTTTACATTAATTAAATTCCTATTATAGATCGCAGTGTTCGATACAAACTCCTTAAAGTGGTCAAATAAGGTACGCTTATTAAGTACTATAATTATCGGTATACTTTTAGTAGTATAAAAATTTATAATATATTTCCAGCATGCAGAGAATGCATCTAGAATTCAACCTCGAGTAGGCCATACTGCGACTCTATCACAAGATAAAACTTCAATTATTATTATAGGCGGAACCACAGGTAAACTATCAGTATATTGTTTTTAAAAAAATATTGTAAATCTAATATTATTATCTAATCATTTATTTATAGCCAGTATAATAGGACTTCGGATTACTGCATATCCAATTTTCATATTACTGGATATCTCAACTGAACCTTATAAATATTCTGAATTAAATGATTCTGGAGAACGACCACGTCCATTAGCATATCATACTGTAAATTTATATCAAAATTATATGATAGTTGCTTTTGGTAATTATCTTAATAATGTCAATATTATTATCGTTATTTATAAATAGAATTAATAATTATCTTTTCTTAAAGGTAATATTACTGATGAAGTTTACGAATCAAATAATACCAGTTCAACTATTTATTTATTGGATATGCCATGTCTAAAGTGGGTAACCACTTTTATACCTAATAACACAAGCTGTCCACCTCAAACTTTACTTCAACCTTCACCTCAATCTACACCAATTGGTGTAATTATTGGTACAACTATTGCTGCTATTATATTTGTAGTATTGTTGATTGCCGCTATATTATATATACGCAGAAGAAGAAAATCAAGAAAAGATATCCTCGAAATCGGGCCAGACCAACCCAGAAACGAATTATTGGACTAGGTTAGGTTTAGGTTAAAAAATTTGACCAAGAAATTTTGGTCAGGTTTGGGTCAATTTCGGGTTAAACATTAGCTCAACTCGAACCTAACCTAAAATTACTCCAAATTAAGGATACTCAAATAAGCATTATAATGAGTTTTGAATAAATATGTATATGTTTAATTCTAAATAAATAAAAAGAAATGACTTGCGTACATCACAACTTATTAACTACGTAACTAGAACATGATCATGCGGGCGGCTCCGCCGCCTGATTTAATAATTGCGCAGAAATCAAATTGTAATGTGTTACGAAAATTAGATAATGCTGATGAATTAATGGCTTTCGTATTTTTAAGTGAAATCAATGAGAAATATTACTTGATAGTAAATATTTACGAACTTCAATAATCTATTTCAAATACCTTAATTTATAAATATTCAATTTTGCTTAGATATGTCATACGTTGGATTAAAATTTGTATCTGATTAGGATGCCTATGTTAGATATTTGCAGAATTATAATCCGCCACAGATTTTAATTTGACACATAACATACATAGCCTTGATTCATTATTTGAGTGTTGCCAAAAGAAAACATCACATTTAAAATACAGTATAACCTATATATAAATGTGTATGTTTTCACTTGGCGGCATTTATTTCACAGTAGCACATCATCCAAAAAAAGAGACTTCAAATAAAATGCTTCCCTTTATTGTTCTCTGGTAATCTAAATAGAGTTAAGGCCTCAAAATTTTCTATAATTCAGGAAACATCATAGACCGATCCAAAAATGAATCATAATTCAAGGAAGTTTGATTATATATTTCAACCAGCATAGCGGGCTTTCATTGTAATTGGCTGATTTTGTAGATCATCCCGTGATATTGCAAAAATATCATTGGTTAATCGAAATTGTTAATCGAAATTATTCGCAAAACA